ATCTTGACCAGGGGCGGTTGGGTAGTTTAATTGCTAAAGCGTTCGCTCGTCACGCCGAAGACCCGTGTTCGATTTCCCACACGGGTACAGTGTGTGAAGCCCATTACGAGTGTCACCCGCCGTGATATTGCTGGAATAGTGCTGAAAAGGGCGTACAACTAAACTCACTCATCTTGACTAAAAAAGTCCGTACACATAATATATGTATGTGGTATTTAGACGATATGTCATCACTGAAGACTTACGATGGGTTGAACTACAGATTTCAACTTCGTATTGGAGATCGCATTTCGTTACAGTTACACTTTTCATATTACCAGTCGTACATGTACGTCGCTAGGAAGGAAATACGTTGAAATCTGAAGATAGATATACGCCCTTTGTCCGATTTAAACAAGATTAACATAAGTTTATGAATCACCATCAATTAGGGATGACACCATGAGTTCTCGAAATGATGGGCGCATCCTACCAATATACATCACCCTGGTCTTCATCCTCAGAAACATGGTTCTCTAACCCCAAACCAGAAGAACAGGCATTCACTAAACCCTCCTGAGATGGTATTATGGTCACTCGTAGAACTCTGTTGTGACCTGGGGCACAGTGTAAATAATTCTGCCACGTGGCTTGTACACACGCAGTATTAACGGGGCCTTGATAAACATCCGTAAGCGTGGGCCGTCTCCAGAAGTCTTCTTTATGTGATTTGCCATGGTTAAGCCACAATATATTGAGACGTGCTGAGAAGACAGAGCCGCCATCAGAGCACATTATGCTCGTATAAACTGTTTACATTAATGAAACTCGGCTTCCTGATCCAGATGGTCAAGCAGCACTATCAGGTCGGTTGATTAATCCAAGAACACGACAATATCCATGTGGAGGGCTGACAAGTCGTATCGTGTTGCCCTTGTTGTGTATGTTGGCCCAAGGCATTCCCCAGGGTGCACAGATCTGTTTCCTAAGCTGATTACTGCATCTGACCAGATGGATACTTCCTGGCCTGGTCGCTGTGGAGGTCACTTAAGATAAAGTGTTGGGAGAGTGGTCCATGTTTTTTGTGGGTTGTGTGGCTACAGCTGGAGAATACACGCAGCGGGATGCTGGTATCAGGAAGGAAACATCTCCTTAGTCCAGAGGGGTGTGCGTCTGAGAGCAGAAAGGCAGTTTCCATCCCCGTCATGGATCTTAAAAGATGGCAATTGTTATTACCCTGCCTGGGGCTTAGGAATCGGGGTTCGACTCCGGGCTACAGCTGGAGAATACACGCAACAGGGGATACTGGTACCAGGAAGGAAACATCTCCTTAGTCCAGAGGGGTGTGCGTCTGAGAGCAGAAAGGAAGTTTCCATCCCCGTCATGGATCTTAAAAGATGGCAATTGTTATTACCCTGCCTGGGGCTTAGGAATCGGGGTTCGACTCCGGGCTACAGCTGGAGAATACACGCAACAGGGGATACTGGTACCAGGAAGGAAACATCTCCTTAGTCCAGAGGGGTGGGCGTCTGAGGGCAGAAAGGCAGTTTCCATCCCCGTTGTGGACCTTAAGAGATGGCAATTCTTGTTACCCTGCCTGGCGTTTGGGAATGAGGGGACGACTCGGGGCTACAGCTAGGGAATACACCAAACAGGGGATGCTTGCACCAGGAAATAAACATCTCCTTAGTCTTGCTGTTTGAGCGTCTGCCCGCAGAAAGGCAGTTTCCGTTCCCGCCGTGGGCCTTAAAATATGGCACTTATTGTTACCCTGACTTGCGCTTGGGAATGGGGTCTGAAACAAAGCGCGGGTCGGCTCGTAAGCAGTATACTGTGTCTAATTGGATATGCATGTTCAGTTGGGTTATCACTGTAAAAACGGCTAAATTTGTCCAATACTCTTGAAACGTCATTGCTCCCCGCCACACCTACCAGGAAGTTATTCGACCGGTGATTGAACCGGTGAATGATGATGTTAGGACTTTGCATGACAAATCTCTACACCAATCAATATAGGGTTTCCATCTGCATGTGTATTGCGTCCCGATAAACCGAGATCCCGTTCAGCATGTAGAGATATTTAGACATAACACGAGGGGCGGAGGGGTAGCCTAGTGGTTAAAGCCTTCGCTCGTCACGCCGAAGACCCGGGTTCGATTCCTCACATGGGTACAATGTGTGAAGCCCATTTCTGGTGTTCCCCGACGTGATATTGCTGGAATATTGCTAAAAACGGCGTAAAACCACACTCAGTCAGTCAGTCAGACATAACACACTGAGTTTTAGTTATAACCATTTGCAACGGTAAAAGAGTAACACGAAGACGTGTCAGTGGGACAGCCGGAAGTTATGCACGATCGATGGTCATGGTTAAGTGCTGGGATTCGAACCTTGTGCATATACTAATCAATACGTCTTACAGTGCCATTTATAAGATGAAGTACGGAACACTGTTCCAACTGCATGGTGTTTTTGAGTGAAATGTAAGGCAGATAATATCTTGACCTGCCATGCTTTAAAGGTGACGCACACCATGTTTCCTGTGATATCCCCAGTGAAGGCTGTTCAGGGACCCATGCAGAAAACTACCGAGAGGCCATGTGTGTCTTACTCACCGTCGCGATGTATGTAAACTATAGATATATGTGTAGTCATATCACATGGACCTCGTTGTAAAAAGTGATCTGGGGGTTACTTCTGTCCCGTATTTTAACATACCTGTCACTGATAGTCGTCGGAAAAGAATGTTTTCGTTGAACAAGACCCTCTACGTATTGAAGGTATTACAGTAACAGTATTACAGTTTCTATTTGCGATTAAGGCGATCTGGTAGCCAAGTGGTTAAAGCGTACGCGTCACGCCAAAGACCGGGGTTCGATTCCCCACATGGGCACATTGTGTTAAGCCCATTTCTGGTATCCCCCGCCGTGATATTGCTGGAATATTGCTAAAAGCGGTGTAAAACTAAACTCAGGCAGTCAGTCAGTCGTTATGCGTAAAATTGTGAGGCCCATTTTTGGAGCCCCAACCATAAAACTGTCAACGGCGTAAACTCAGTCACACGTTCACTCATTCAAGCACTATATACAACATAAAAATACAACAACAATGTACAATGTATAAAGCCCATTTCTGGTGTCCCCCGCCGTGATATTGCTAAACTGTTGATATGTGCGGCGTAAAACCATACTCACTCAAATTGGTATTTATGTGTATTGTACGTGTTATGAAGATAACAAGTGATATCTGGACGTCAGCCATAATGCAGATTTAACGTCAGTAATAACAGATCCATCTACTGTTGTTCGTGTGAAGACAAAACAAGAGTGACATTCTGACACAAAGTAGTCCGATATTCATGGGGAGTTTAACGCAGGTCGGGAGTAAGCGAGATATGTGCCTTGGCACCGCAGCAGCAGTCATGCGGAATTAGCCTTTTAAATCAAAGAAAGCTCCATTTCCAGCTGTTTATTGACTGCTTACCCATCTTGCATGAAATTCGACTTAGTGTTCTGGCACTAATCTGCCTGAGACAATTGACTGTGGCGTCTGAATCAGGTCAGCGATTCTCGCCATGGTCGGGGAAGAGATGGCGTCTTGATGGACTATTCCGTCAGGCTCAGTTCGAACTGTACTTGTGTTTACTGAGCATGCGCCACCGGAAGTACTGTTGCAACCGCCTTTAAAGCTCGTCTCCACATGCCATAGCTCACAGACTTGAGATAAGCTGTAAATTAATGAAAACAAAATCGCATTGAGCATGGGGAGCACAGTTAGCTCGAACAGTCTTACGACACGGGTTGCAGTGTTGCTGTAATTTAGAAAATGGTACTATTGATTAAGGAGATTTATCTGAAGATGAAGATCCTAAAAAGTGATGCCTTTGGAAAAATGCAACATATGCTATATTTTTGTTGCGTTTTTTTTCTTGTGGAAACCGCGATGGCTGAGAAGGTTAGACCGCAAACTTTTTGTGCTAGAGTTGAGGTACCTGACTCTGCTCCACCCAAAACAGTACAAGAACCGAAATATAATTATAACACATCTTGCAGTGCAGTTGATAGCATTTAGATGAATCTGCATGCAGACTTTACTTTTGATAAGTTTCCAAAATACATACATGAGTGAGTTTAGTTTTCTGCCGCACTCAGCAATATTCCTGCTATATGGCGGCGGTCTGTAAATAATCGAGTCTGGACCAGACAATGCAATGATCAATAGCATGAGCATCGATCTGCGCAATTGGGAACCGATGACATGTGTCAACCAAGTCAGCGAGCCTGACCACCCGATCCCGTTAGTCGCCTCTTACGACAAGCATGGGTTACTAAAGATCAATTCTAACCCGGATTTTTCACGGGTGCTGGTGTGTGATGCGTGATATGTGGTCTGTGCTGTGTAGACCGAAACATAACCTGGCGCATATACTAGAGACTCGAACCGATGAAGTTCAGAGTAATCATTCAACAACCATATGCAGCTACAGCGTTTGCATTATTGATAACAAATCAGTTTTTTTATCAGTATTTTCTCTTGGTGAAGCCAGGAAGACGAGGTCAAACAGGTAGAGATAATCAATGGCTTGGTTAATTGTGAGTCGTTTTACCCCGGGGCCACTGTCTTAGTTGTTCCATCAACTTTAACGACCAACTACTAACTACGTCCAACTGGGGCACGATGAACAAATTTCAGCCATGACAAAATTGTAATATAGGTCATTGCCACATAGAAATACATTAGCTTACTTATTTGGAGACCGGCCAGCTAATTTGATTAGGGCTGGCGACAATAATTTGTTCACGTAATCTCTGGAGAGTAATTGTCTCGGATTGTTTTTGAGAGAAACTTTTGACTTTCTGGATGTCTTGAGAAAGTGTTATCGACTCTCTGAGAAAATATTGATGCACTAAAGCAGTCCGAGTATTCTGTCTCAAACAAATAACAGGAAATTAAAATGCCAGTCCCGCGTCAGTTTTACTCTTACTGTAGTGTATATTATAAACATTGCGTTTTTCTTCCAGGCGGGAGGCTCTACTGGAGATGGAAGGTCACTTCCTCGTCCGGCACGTCTACGACGACGGTATATCGTACGACCTAGTCGGAGCGGCGTCCAAGGTGCTGGGTGAGTGACAGTAACAACATAACTGACTGACAACTGGTCATGGCGGTATAAACTTGGTGCGACTGGTCTAGCATCCAGAGAAAGTGCAGTTTGTAATGTCAGTCCTTGGACTGCATCGTTGTGACCTCGGTGGTACATAATTGAATTAAGCTGTCAAGTTTCTCACCGATATGTGGAATAAATGACAGGTAGCATACCAGGCCTCGTTTCTGATTGTTGATTTTGAAAGGTATCTGAAGTCCCGAGTTGCTTCCCTTGTCTACTTGGATTTGCTGTGCTGTCATCACTGAAATTGTTCCCTGTGGCTTTGTTGTCATATTGTTAAAAAATCTCCATTTGTAATTCAAGGACATGAACTCATCTGAGAAAGAAATCGGAATCCTTTCAATGATTGTTTCTGATGTTTCTATAGGATTTTATTAGGTACTGACCATTGTGGTTAAATTGTATTTGGTATAGTCAATTTAACAATATGATATCAAAATGGTTTTTTGGTTCTCTTACAGAACTACCAGCAGCGGACATTCTTGAGGCATTTGGAGGTATGTTCTTCCAGTACTGTGAAGAATCGGGTTATGACAAGATTCTTAAAGTGTTGGGCTCCACTACCAAAGACTTTCTTCAGAATTTAGATGCCTTGCATGATCATCTTGCAACCATCTACCCAGGCATGCGTGCTCCGTCCTTCCGGTGCACGGAACGGGAAGGAGATGGTGCCACAGTTTTACATTACTACTCCGAGAGAGAAGGTCTGGAGCATATAGTTATAGGAATTGTCAAGACGGTGGCAAAGAAGATTCACGCCTCCGAGGTAGACGTCAACGTTTACAAGAGCAAAGACAACGGCATTGACCACGTCCAGTTCACCATCGTCGAGAAAAACAACCAGGGAAGGAACGCGAAGTTGGATCTAGAACATCAAAAGACTTTATCAACAGATTCGAAAATAAGCCCTGCGACATTTTGTCGGGCGTTCCCTTTTCATATAGTATACGACAAGAACCTTGTCGTCAAGCAGGTTGGTTCTTCAATCGCTCGGGTTATCCCTCAGATGGCAAGCAAAACCTGCAAACTACCAGATCTCTTCGACATGATCCGACCACACATGGATCTGTCCTATGCGAACATTGTATCTCACATCAACACCGTGTACGTCCTGAGGACGAAGCAGGGTGTTCTGGATTTGCCAAGCATGGACAACCAGGTTGACGAGAACTCCCGGATGCGTCTGAAGGGCGAGATGATCTACGTGAGGGAGACAGACTGCATTCTGTTCCTGTGCTCCCCGAGTGTCATGAATCTCGACGACTTGAACCGACGTGGCCTGTATCTGAGCGACATACCCCTCCACGATGCTACTCGCGACCTGGTGCTGTTGTCTGAACACTTCGAGGCTGAGTACAAGCTGACGCAGAAGCTGGAGGTCCTTACGGAGCAGCTGCAGCAGACGTACAGAGACTTGGAAGATGAGAAAAAGAAGACTGACAGGTTGGTCACAGCACGTACCATTATTCTTCACTTATATTCGGGGCAGTGGGGTAGCCTTGTGGTTAAAGCGTTTGATCGTCACGCTGAAGACCCCGGTTCGAATCCCCACATGGGTACAATGTGTGAAGCCGATTTCTGGCGTCCCCCGCCGTCATATTGCTGGAATATTGCTTAAAGCGGAGTAAACCCAACTAACTCACTCGATTAGTTTCGCTTTGTTTCTGGTTACCTTTCTTACCGACATGACGTTATCAATATACTGGGATAGCCTAGTGGTTAAAGCGTTCGCTCGTCACGCCAAAGACAAGGGTTCGATTCCACACATGGGTACAATGTGTGAAGCCCATTTCTGGTGTCCCCAGCCATGATACTGCTGGAATGTTACTAAAAGCGGCGTAAAACCATTCTCAATCACTCACTCAGCCGAGATGCTACTTGAACCAAAGCTAATATGTCGTAAAACTCTACTCACCAGAACATGCATGAACTGTGTCTTCTACACACGGAAACAACCTACAAAACATAAAGAATTCATTATATGGCTTTTCATACGACAGACAAACATCCTGGCGTGAGATTCCTGGACGATAATCAAGCTCCTTTCAATCATGCCACGCTTGTATTTGTATGGGAATGCAAATGCCTTTTACAAGGACAGACGAATGCATTTTTAATTCCCCAAACCTAATACTGTCCTGCAAACCGACGGATACCACCAAAATATTCTGATAATGTTTTGGCGAGTGTTTGCGTGTGTCTTTATTTCATGACAAATAACCATTATAGTTACATTTTTCCTTTCACTCGCCTCCATCTTTGTTTGTTCAACGAAAAGTGTTTTACTGCTCAGTGAAAAAAAATACATTTGAAAAAATGCTACCCTGTTATCTTTAGAACCGATGCACTACCCTGGGGTCCTGTGAAGGCTCAGTTACGCGGCCCTCATTCTATTGCCGTCTCTTACGGTCTCAGTGTCTGAGTAAAGGTTTCTGTCACAATACATTAAGGTCACGCAATTCTCTAATTAAGTGATCATCTTTGCTCTATGGTAATGATATTCTTGTCGGTAGGCCTTTGATAGCCGCCGGTATCAATAGTAAACTTTGGCTTTCAATGGGCGTCTATCGCATTTCTGTGTTTAGATCACTCCCATCTAATCCGCTCTGAGCTCAGAATGACTCGAGTGACATCGCGCCGAAAGAACTCGAATCAACTAGAATTAATTAATCTTCAAAGCAATGCTATTTCATTGATGGAGTTTGCGTTTCGAGATGATCTGTGCGATTGTACTCGCTTGTTCAAAGAGATACTCAGTTTGGACGAGGGAGGATCCTGGTCATCGACAGACTCATGGATCTGGTAACAGGAACCATAGGAGTATAGAGCATAACACTGGACAAACCCTGGGGTAACCTAGTGGTTAAAGTGTTCTCTCGTAAAGCCGAAGACCCGGGTTCGAGTCCCCACATGGGTATAGTGTGTGAACCCCATTTCTGCTGTCCTCAGCCGTGATTTTGCAGGAATATTACAAAAGGCGGCGTGACCCGTGAAGGTCCGGCCTAGAATGAGCCTTCAGTAACCCATGCTTGTCGTAAGAGGCGACTAACGGGGTCGGGTGGCCAGGCCCGCTGGCTTGGTTGACACATGTCATCGGTTCCCAATTACGCAGATCGATGCTCATGCTGTTGATCACTTGACTGTCTGATCCAGACTCGATTATTTGCAGACCGCCACCATATAGCTGGAATATTGGTGAGTGCGGCGGAAATCTCAACTCACTCAACTCACAAAAAGGCGGCGTAAAACCATACCCACACACACTCACTATTACGGTGGAGCGGTGGGGTAGCCTAGTGGTTAAAGCGTTCGCTCGCAACGCTGAAGACCCGGGTTCGATTCCCCACATGTGTACAATGTGGTCTTTACCACGAGGTCTTTAACGCCTTATAAGGTCTGAAGTACTTTCAGACATTAAAACAAGTTTCGGAGAGTTTTATTATTTGAAAAGGGCTGCCATGTTGTAGAACTGTAAAATTGCTTCAATGTATTATTCAGAATATCTCAAACGAGAAAGAGTTGCCACTGTTTTATAACGCGCCTTGTATATAAATATGTCCTAATCCGATACGAACGACACGTGAATATATGCTGACGTCAGTCACGTCAGGGTGACAGCTCCCCTGTGTTTGCTAACATGTAATCCCGTACAAATTGTGCATATTTGCCTGTTATCTGACTCTGAATTCTTCAGCGCAATTATTTTATGTTCCTGTGAATCAAGCCTTTGTCAGATTAGATTTCTCATCCGTGAATTTTACTCAATGCATAATTTACAATTGACGTAATACGCGACCGTTGTATTTTCTTAAGCCCCAAACGTAACGGGTTATGGTGTCCGAAGCGCCGGTTTGACCGCTCTATCATGGCGTTACATTAACGCCATACGTTTATTGTATCTGGCATTTGTTCTTTTCAGTCTGATGTACTCCATTTTACCTCCTTCCGTTGCTAATGAATTACGTCACCAACGCCCAGTGCCTGCCCGGAAGTACAATGACGTCACTCTGATGTTCAGTGGGATTGTGGGATTTGGTGACTTTTGCGCCAAGAATTCAGATGCATTGGGCGGAATGAAGATAGTTCAGCTACTCAACAGCGTGTATACCAAGTTTGATGTTTTGTTGGATCCTAAGGAAAACCCGAATATATTTAAGGTAAATTACAAATTAAAGTGTGTTTCCATGTCGAAAATTACACATACTAGGAATATATGTTCATACTTTATTTAATATACTGACACAACAAAAGCACAATATTTGCTTTGATAGGTAAAATTATATGCTGTTGTAACTAATCTTTCATCGGGTGGTCTACTGCAACCCATGCTTGTCGTAAGAGACGACTAACGGGATCGGGTGGTCATGCTCGCTGACTTGCTTGACACATAGTATCGTATCCCAATTGCGTACATCGATGCTCATGCTGTTGATCGCTGGATTGTCTGGTCAAGGCTCGATTGTTTACAGACCGCCGCCGTTATAGCAGGAATATTGCCGAGTGCGGCGTTAAACAACAAACAAACAAACAAACAACCGGAGTCCCGTTCCTCAAAGCGACCGCAGCTTGTACATACTTGGAAGCGGTGGGGTAGCCTTGTTATTAAAGCCTTCGATATAAGCCTTCGCTTTTAGCAATATTCCAGCAATATCACGGCGGGGGACACCAGAAATGAGTTTCACACAATGTACCCATGTGGGGATTCGAACCCGGGTCTTGGGCGTGACGAGCGAACGCTTTAACCACTAGACTACCCCACCGTCCCGATTCCCGGACTGAAAGGAACAGTAGATGCATAGTGCACGGTTTTACATATGTTGTTTTGTATAACGTACTACTGAATAATACATGAGCGTCAATGTACATTACACAAAATCTTCACCATCAACAGTGCATAATCCATTGTCTTTTTGTCTGAATATAGAATGAGTCACAATGGCTTTTTCATTTTTTATCCTTTGGAAATTAATACTAATGCATCTTTGAAACCTGCGTAATAAAATTTAGACAAGATTTATAAGATAAGTGGAATACCAGGGCTTATGTTTAATGCATTAGTATTATATACGCCAGTCACATCGGGAACAAGCTCATTGTTTATTTAGGGTTGTTGTTTTTTTCTTATCGGGAATTTAGTCATACTTAATTCAGTAAAAAGAATATGATTGCTTATTTTATATCTTAGAAATTAATCCTTTATTTAGAAATAAGACGTTTTGTGTTGATGACTGAGTATACGTAATTAACACACTAAGCAACCTTTATAACGAACTGATGATATAACGAACTATTTTTTCGCACCCGGCTACTCGCTGCCTGTTTCAGCCGAAATGCGTCTATTTTAGCCGAAATGCGTGTACTTTTGCCGAAATGCGTCTATTTTACCTGAAATGCGTCCATTTTAGCCGAAATGCGCCTATTTTGGTCGAAATGCGTCTTTTTGTGTCGAAATTAAGATTAGTGGTCACTTGGAGTTCGTTATAACACGGGTTTGTTTTTCCACAGGTGGAGACTGTAGGCGACAAATACATGGCCGTTAGTGGACTACCCGAGCCGTGTGTTGACCATGCCAGGTGTATAGCAAGGCTGGCACTGGACATGATGGAGATATCCAAGGACCTCAGGGATCCCGATGGCAAACCCCTCATGGTGAGCACTTTGTTTGCAACTTGGAATGATGAGCTAGCGAGGATTAACGAACCAGTCTGCAAATTCTAAACAAGATGTTTAGGGCCAAAAATATCTATATTTACGTTGTGATACAGATTGCATGGTCCAGTCTCGATCATTTTCAGACCGCCGCCATATAGTTGGAACATTGCTAAAATAAACTAAACTCACTCACTCACTCATTGTGATACGACTTTACCAGAGATAACACCCGTCAGTGTTTTATCGTACTTTCACAGTTTTGAGTCTAACGCTGCGCTATTACTTTGACACCCCGATGTTTTGTAATTTCCAAAGCGAGACGCTGCTGACCAATAGGAGCCACGCTTTCAATTTACATAACGGGTTCTCTGATTGGTTGTTTGTTTAATACCCACTCAAGACATTTTATCGATTGATTTTGCGGGTTCCAGGCGGGGAACTAATTGTGTTTACAGCGATATTAGTTCGGAAGTTGGAACCCCGTATCTTCTATCTGAAAAAGTAGAAGATAATAAGTGTCACGTGAGTTTTGACCACGTGATTCAGTCAAATCCCGATGAGTCGAATGCCGGTGTCTCGAATATTATGCATAACTCGAAGTACCTGTCGGTCCCGACCATTCCCTGTTATAGTTGTCATCATTTGAATACCGGTTACACGAATTCGTCTCATAAATACACACGATGACTCGAGAAGGAAATTTGGTCCCATGAGATTCAAACAACAGCAATCTTGTATACATAAGCCGAAGTCAGTCAATGAGAAGTTGATTGGTGTAGCAAACTGATCCAATTAACAAACCAGCGCGGCTCACACCTTTCCGCCATTGACGGGTGAGTTCAAAAGGCAGATTAGTGATTTTACGGAAATCACTGTCTGTGCTAATCAGACTGGAACTGATAAGGTGCCCCTATTAGTGATATGGAAATCATTAGATAAACAAATGCTTAGGCGGAGGAATTAGGACTGGATCATCTTTTTTCTACCCTCATAGACATACCTATGTCTCGAATACATCGATAAGTCGAATTTATTACTTGGTCCCCAGCGATTCGACTCATCGGGATTTGACTGTATCAGGTACGTCGACATTGTTTTACTGACATGTATACATTATGTGTTGTAAAACTACAGTCGAGCACTGTTGAAAACTTGTTATAAAGGAGTGAGTGTGGTTTTGTGCCGCTTTAAAGCAATATTTCTGTAATGTCACGGCGGGTATACCTGAAATTGGCTTTACATGTTGTTGCCATGTGGGGAATCGAACTCGGATCTTGACCGTGACGAACTTTAACTACCGGTCTACCCCGCTGGAATATACTGACGTAAATAAATAGGGGAACACCGCTTCATCGCGGAATCTCTCTGTTCACCCACAGTGCATTTTTTTACAAATCTTACACACAAAAACAATCTAAAGAATAGGGGAACATTTGTATCTTCATATCTTTCTTTATTTGTTTCCCCCTGTAAATGAACACTATTGTGATTAAATAGTTATTAAGGTTCATTGTGGTCCAGCATGAAGCAAACTAACCGAACTGATTTAACCTGTATGTGGGTTAGTATGACGACAACATGGAGGTGATTCTGCGGCTTAAAATGTGTTTTGTTCCTGATTCCTAAGGGCCAAGTGAGACTATAGTGTGTCAATATTTCTAAAATCAGATCTCTTTTTGCCGGTAGTAAGAACTATTATCTCATTTTGTTTAGCCTTTGTTAGTGTGAACTTGCGTAGTTCCTCGAGATGACATTGTATGTGTTCACTGCGTCCCATGCCTGTTGGCCTTGGCCGACTTTGGCCGACTTTGAAAACGTTCACAGATGTGAAGTATAGAACCTGACATCAAGCATCATCTACATGAGCTTCTCTACTTCCGTCATCTGGTGTTGTGATAGTCACAGGAACCAGTGAATCTTGTTTCAGTATGGATGCATTCGAAAGCAGTCCCAGATACGTTTTTGGATGTAAATGAGCCGACAGGATGTTCAATTGTTTCTTCCTTGTTAGATCGTTCTCTACTTTCGGTTTCCTTCCATGTCAAGTTGACCCCATGATATAATTGGAATACTGTGGAAATCGGCGTTGAATCTCACTCACTCACTCACTCACTCACCCACCCACCCACCCACTCACTCACCTCACTCAACTCACCACCCACCCACCCTGCAAAACATGCAGTACTCAAGCTGTTTAGGGACGAAGGAATAGCCGAGTGGTTAAAGTGTTCGCTCGTTATGCGTAAGGGGCGGTAGGGTAGCCTAGTGGTTAAAGCGTTGGCTCGTCACGCCGAAGACCCGGGTTCGATTCCCCACATGGGCACAATGTGTTAAGCCCATTTCTGGTATCCCCCGCCGTGATATTGCTGGAATATTGCTAAAAGCGGTGTAAAACTAAACTCAGGCAGTCAGTCAGTCGTTATGCGTAAAATTGTGAGGCCCATTTTTGGAGCCCCCAACGTAAAACTGTCAACGGCGTAAACTCAGTCACACGTTCACTCATTCAAGCACTATATACAACATAAAAATACAACAACACAAGTAAACCCGCAATATAGGCACCCAGTACAACACAATTAAACGCAAATGAAGACACTATCAAAAGCACCCCGTACAACACCACATCTGAAGACAGTACAGTATTAAAGCAGCCTGCACAAAAAAACTCCAGCTCAAGCATCGATACCTCAACCTTTATAGATTCACTATGAAATAATCCTTATCACACCCTACTTCAAGGCCATCAGCAACAAACGCCCATCTCATCCATCCTAACAGTACATACGTCGCGTACGCAACTAGTCTATCCCAGCAACTGTATATGACGCCATGCGCCTTCTCATTGAGAGTCATTAAAAAGCCGAGATCTGACGGTGTGGAAGAAGGCAGTCATAATTTCCAATTGTAGGAGTTATGAAAACAAGGCGGATGGCGTGGAAGTCTGTTTTGTGACAAACCACTCACCCGGTCCATTAGCATTTGAAACCGCCGCAAACTCAATTACTACAGCTTCAGCGATTCGGTGTGTAAACCTTCCGCTCTTCAAATGTGACGTTCCTACTGCTATAATGAAGACATTATCAGCATCGCCGGCGAATATTGCAGTCTAACCAGAATTGATGTCGGAATTAAGTTAAGCCGATAAGGACCCACATACTGCTCGTTGTTCTATCTTGACATTAGTGGTGGGAACTTTGTCTTTCCCAACGCAGTTAATGTGACATAATCGTCTAATCTCATTACATATTCTCCCGATGTCTGTCTTGTAGGGGTCGCTTGTTTATCGAGACTATAGTTCTCTGATGGAATGCATGCCCACACAGATTGTATGTCACAGTAAATAAAGTCTACGGCCTCAATTGAAGGCAATTGTCTTGACACTGTGAATAAATGCATGAGGAATTACCAAAAGGGATCTCTTCAATCCAATCCTGGTTTGCGAACTTACTGGAAGACTCGATATCTGAGACCGCGATTGTCCATACTAACAGGCAGAGTGCGTGATTCTGGATCCATCGGTTGTCCAACAGACGTAAAGAACCTTCTCTGACAATTACGGATTGATAGGGTCGGCCTCCAAGTGGTCATGGATTCCTGGCATTCTAGAACGCGTTCATGTTCTCCAGCACAGCCCCACCATTTCTTCATGTCCGACTCTGTCACAGACGGATGAAAGTCCTTTTCATGCGTATCGCGTGTCTATATGCTGACTTGCACGTTGATGGCCTGTATATTCAGCCTTTAGGTAAGCCATTTACGAATGATGGGAATGTTTCGGGCCTATTCGAGTTGGAGACAGATTGATTGGTAAATCTACAGTTGTAACATGATTGACGGTTCATCCTTCGCCAGAAGAGTAACCTTTAATTCCTTGTGCCGATCAGTAACCAAGACGTGTGACCTCGGTACGGTAGAGCGTATTCACAGGCTAGAAATAGACCCCGTTACACTCCCCGGGATGCATTACCTAAGAACATTAGCTTAAATAGACGATCGAGTAAGATGATGTTTGGGTTCGGGTATTTAATTCCCGTAATGGCGGCTCTGCCGATTGCTGAGGTACCTTGCCATCATATAATTCTCTTCATCCAAATTGTTTATAAGGGAAATGGTAGACCGTTGCCGGATCTGTGTTCCGTTAACCCAATTAAAGTACAGGGCAGGAGAGAAACATGTACCGTTACACGTTTTCATGCATTGCATGGTATTCTGGAACTGCCAGGTATCTGCCTGTCCGTTGATAATGGTAGGTGTTATGGTATTTATTGCACGCAGAATGTCTGGAAACAACGTAGAGGCGTCATCATGGTAATAAATCATAAATACAGACTGATTGATGTGTGGCGTTAAAAAAGTTAAAAAGGAGCCAAGGCTAAGTTTTCATTGACCAAGCAGATCTTTGTGGATCTGAATTCCACTTTGCGTTCTGAAACCCGTGAAGATCCGGGTTAGAATAGGTCTTCAGCAACCAATGCTTGTCGTAAGAGGAGACTAACCGGTTTGGATGGTCAGGCTCGCTAACTGGGCTGACACATGTCATTGTATCCCAGTTGCGTAGATCGGTGCTCATGCTGTTGATCACTAGATTGTCTGGTCCAGACTGGATTATTGACAGACCGCCGCCATACAGCTGCAATACTGCTGAGTGCGGTGTCAAAAACAAAAATACCCGAAGCAAACTGAACATAAAAAACGAAGTTTAAGCCAAGCTCGAGTTGTAAATCACTGACGCTGCTTTCCTCGTGACAAACATATTGAACTTTCTGATTAACCTGTATATTTCGTTGTTATGTGTGCAGGATTCTCTTGTGACATCCTTTGAACCTATGCTGTCTCCAGTAAATAGCCACGGTGTTGGGTCTCACGTGAAGCAAATAAGAAACTATCAAGAAATACTTGCATTACATCTGTTTGGTCACATGACACAAACAGACTGACAACCGATGGCATCGAGCACATTTTATCAAATGTCGTCTTGGTAGATGTGATCGGATCCAGAAGTTGACAGTAGCAACATTTTTGTTGAAAGCTGCGTAAAGCTGTAAGACACCTTCGAGATTAGATATTCGAAAGTTTAGCACGAAGACCGCTTCGTGATATTCACAGAACAGGCCCAGAAGATTCAACAGGAGGTATCTCTCGGGTGGGATTATGATCTTAGCAGGAATAGCTGCTGGAAACTTGTACCACAGTGCTTTGTCAACATGTCGTCACATTCCAATGAAATTGTCAATCCCGTGTAAACTGAAAATAGTTTGCTGTACCTTCTTACGCGCTGCTTATGTAAGTCTTAAACCTTTATCATTTTACACATTATATTCAAACATAAATCTATTTATTTATTTATTAATTTTTGTTTGTTTGTGGGGTGGGTTTCGAAAGACTGTAGGGCAAGACGTTCAAAATATTGCTGCACCTCACCCCTAACCCCGTGCTTGTAATGAACATCGAAATAACGGAATTGGAACGAAACGAAGCATAATCCTCAGCTTTCCAAACGTTTCTTTAGCAGATATGCGCTTTTCAAGAACTGCAGTGGCGTTCCATTTTCTCATATTTACAGCTATTTACAATTCCCCAGTGTAGCCAACGGCAAGTCTTACTGGTTAGAGAGCCAAATACATGTCAGTATATAAAAACGGAGAGACCAATCAAGAATTGCGATTTCTATCTGAACCGAATGTCTACCACAATCCCTTCCAGAAATACATGTTTATTTCATGTCGGTAAAACGTAACTAAAGTATCTTCCGGAAAACGCATATAACTGCGGAAGTTGGTCCCATGGATATGCTGGCTTGTCTATCCGGGGCATTTACAGTTATGTCTACAGTAGCCGTGGAGAAGGTATTATTAACCCGAATATCCGGAGCCGAGATTTCCTACCGCGAGTGACTGTCAGATAGGAAACTCCGGGCCCTTGCAGCAATTGCATCTTCCGGGGCAGACTGGTCTTCCGCTATTCACGAAATGAGTCGGGAAAGTATCGTCTCCTCTGCTTAATCTCGCCTACTATCGCCTTTTATGAAAAAGACAGTTTCTGATTTTAGTAGAGCCTCGTCTTCAAATTAATGGCTTCCGGTCAAACCACGTGACCCGACTGATACAAATACAGGCCGGTAGGCGCCTATGGGGTATAATTAGGTAAGCGTCGTGCCATGCTTGGTTTTAGTCGCACAACTAGCCACTGGAAACAGCCTTGAGAAAAAAATGGCAATTATTAAAGATTGTAAGGTCTGAGTTTTTCATTGTACAGCTGGGATCGATTTCATGGTCACTTGTAGTAGCTTCTAAATATTGTCCCGTGTTTTCATCGTCGTCTAAGGCTTGGGAGATGAGATGTGTCGTATTGGGAGAAATGCAAATTGGATTAGCTTGGCACTAACAAGGTTGGGATAGATTTTACGACCGACAATCTTATGAGTGTGAGTTTAAGAAATGCCATATTGGATTGTTTCTTCTGTACTGTGTTTTCAATTAAACTTCAAACGTTCTCGATGTAGTGGGTCCTGTGGATGAGAACTGATGGAACGGATGAGGTTTGGGGAAAGAGGGAGAACGGAAAATGCATGTTCTCACGAATAATGTGATTGGATACGTGACTCCAGTGTACGTCTGGACCTTCTCGGGTTGCCAGTACTCTTTGTCTTAGTGACTTAGTGAGTGAGTTTAATTTTACGCCGGTTTTAGCAATATTCCGGTAATATCACGGGGACACCAGAATTTGGCTTCACACGTTGTACCAAATGTGGGTAATCGAACCCGGGTCTTCGGCGTGATGAGCGAACACTTTAACCACTCGGCTACCCCACCACCCCTCTTTGTCTGAAAGCGAAAACACACACCTTGCCCAGCCCTTCGTTCACCCGTCCGACATCTGCAGTGATTTCCTCTCCGCCTCTACAGCATCCCAATAAGCCAAACCCACTTCCCCGCACCAACCCACACCAAGGCGAATCTTTACCGCCACCGCCACCCCACACTAAGACTAATCTCTGAAGCCACTAACCTACGTTTTCCCCATACAAGCAGGCTAATGTCTACTGCCCAAACCCACTGGACCACAACCAGGCTGATCACTACCTGAAGATCCGGGTAGGAATTGATCTTCAGTAACCCATGTTTGTCGATAAAGGCAAGTAACGGGATCGGGTGGTCAGACTCGCAGACTGAAGCCCAATTACGCTCCGAATTACTTGGCACTGTGTAAAACAAATAATGTCGTTTGAGTAAACGTTCTTTTTCATCGTTCTTGGTATTAATTTTCGACAGAACCTTTATTGCCAATATTATGTTATGTGATTTATGTTGAGCGAAGTTTTCATTAAGGAACAAGTTCAGAGATTATATTTTCTTGACTGAGGATACTGACTAACTGAAAGTCCACGTAGATGATATTTCACTACTGTACTGTGTTGGAAATGTTTGTATACAGTTCTTATTAAATACGGGACAGAAAGGTAGCCTAGTGGTCACTCGTCACGTCAAGACCCTATTTCGATTCCCCACATGGTTACAATGTTTGAAGCCCATTTCCGGTGTCTAAAAGCTAAAAGCGGCGTAAAACCATGCTCACTCACTCACTCACTCACTTCCTTGTTCAATGCCTGACATTAGGCATTAGACTGACAATTATTCCCAGAAATACAGTTATCGTATTCAATATATATGCACAAATCCAAATGGAGCCGAGAACAAGCTAGTCTTCCCAAGTCATTCTATACTTGATTAGGACTTCTATTCAATTTAAGCTCAAGGGCCTACGAGACAATCTAATTCGGCATTGATATAAGTGGAGAAACCAAAGACGGGTGACTGCTAGACAGTATTGTATGTGTCAGGTATACATGTACCTCTACTGATGCAGGTTCACTCAGTTGGCGAGCACTATAAACCCAGCGTAAGTCCGGACCAGTCCAAGCATCAACATACGCACATGCATACACACACGTCGTATCCATTAGTCTCACACACGTCTTTAAACCACATCTACCTCATATTAACCTGGGGGCTGGTGTTGCCTAGTGGTTAAAGCGTCCGCTCGACACGCGGAAGACCCGGGTTCAATTCCCCACATGGGTACAATGTGTGAAGCCCATTTCTGGTATCCCCTGCCGTGATATTGTTCGAATATTGCAAAAAGCGGCGTAAAACTGAATTCACTCGCTCACTCGCACTAACGTAGGAAAATCGTATGAGACATGACAAGAGTTACATTTTATATCTTCAACAGGTGTCTTATGCAGCCTGAAAGCAAGGACCCCAGTTTCCACTTCGAGCAACGCGGACCGGTCACCATGAAGGGGAAGAAGGAACCGATGATGACGTACTTCCTGTCCAGAGAGAAACCGGAAGTTGCTGTCAAACCCCCGACGAAAGTATGCGAGGTGTAAAAGTTGTACCTCAACGGCGTGACGTGACAATATTCTGCATTGCCGACACCGACGCTGGAAACAACGGTGGAATGTTTTGGTGTGGTCTGGTCCGACCCCTGGGTCTGAGGTGCGGTTCCTTTTGTTGGGCCGTGGCAAGGCTTTAAGTGTATTGTTCTGTTAATTGTATAAGGGTTCCACAAGTCGTTGTTTTGATGGGTTTGTCCTCGCTATGGGCTCGAGCTGACCTTTGCATGCCTTGACCACTGCCTAACGTTCCACAAAGCGATCTTAACACTGTGACTGTAAGAAAGCTATGTTAAGGCACGTGTGCTAAGATCACATTAGCACTAAGATCGCTTGTGGAACAGGGCCCTGTACATTTGATATTTGAACGGGACAGGCTGTTCAGAGAAACTGGGTCACAGGAAGCCGGCATCTGCCAATTTAAAAATTTTCAGATCTGAGAAAATCATCGATCGTTTATTATACAGCCTTCATATTAGTAGTGGCTTTGATGGACTATGTTGAATCACGCATGTGTCAAGCACATACAGTGCCTATAGTTTTGTCCATCAGCAGTACCAAATATGGACATTGTCCATGAGTCTCACAACTGTCATTGTTTATTAATCTGTTAACAGTGTCGTAGTAATCATTATCAAGCCTAGCCGGTGTGTATGTACATTGTCAAGCCTACCCGAGGTATACATGCACTGTCGGTATGTATAACAGTGTCAGGCAAGGCAGTAAATGTGCAAAGGATAATTCATTCCCCTTGGAAATGTTTCTGGGTTGGATAAATATAGGTGCCCAACTCCTATACAAGTGTGAGGAATCTATCACCTGAATTTTATTTTCCGGATGGAAGCAATAACCTAGGTATAATTTTCCAACGGAAGAATTTGCCAGGGATATGAATCTTCTGTTACTTACATACACAGTGCCAAGCTTTGTCTGTGTACATATGCAGTATGGAGGATTTTCGGTGTATTTATGCATTTTCAAGCATTATTGATGTATATATGCAATGTCAAGCATAGTCGGTGTATATATCCAGTGTCAAGCATAGTCGATGTATATATCCAGTACCAAGCATAGGCGGTGTATATATATCCAGTGTCAAGCATATCTGGTGTGTATAGCCAGTGTCAAGCTTAGCTGGTGTATATATCCAGTGTCAAGCTAAGCTGGTATATATATCCAGTGTCAAGCTTAGCTGGTGTATATATCCAGTGTCAAGCTTAGCTGGTGTATATATCCAGTGTCAAGCTTAGCTGGTGCATATATCCAGTATCAAGCTTAGCTGGTGTATATATCCAGTGTCAAGCATACCTGGTGTATATATCCAGTGTTAAGCATACCTGGTGTATATATCCAGTGTCAAGCATAGCTGGTGTATATATCCAGTGTTAAGCATACCTGGTGTATATATCCAGTGTCAAGCATAGCTGGTGTTGTATATATCCAGTGTCAAGCTTCGTAGGTGTAAATATGCTATATATTCCGCTATCATGCGTAGATGGATATATAAGCAGCATCAAACAGGCTGTGTTAACGTGCAGTGCAAAGCATGGCGGAGCAACGATTACATACCGTCCCGTATTGCTTATAGGGAGTACATGTTGTTTTAAACCGTATGATCAATATTGCAGCTATTCGTGGCTTGGTTTGGGTATAAGCAGGCAACATCAGACAGAATGTCGAAAAAGCAGAATCGTAAACAGGAGGGAGTATTAACACAAAAATCCCTACTCATGCACCAGCAGATGAAGTATAGGATATAAGTGCAACTGCCGCGACAAGGAAGATGATTGTCTGACACCGTAATACCATGTTACGTTAGAACCCGGCGCTGAGAAATATGTATTGATGTGTCGGTTTGTTTTGACCATGCGCCAGGCTGGCAAACATCATATACAAATAATTTGGCGGTCTCTGATGAAACATCTAGCTTTATCTGCAGTCCAAAAGCATTTATATATATATATACAATTGTGAATAATATATTCAAACCAAATATGTGTACATATCGGTACAGATCGATACATGATTACTTGTTGCTCAGTCTTGTTTGATTTTAGTTGTAAAGTGCATTGTTGGTTACACTGACAATCTTGCAATAATCAAACTACTTTATTGATGAGTATGTTTGTGTAGCACAATATTCATTACCATTACTGACCAATAACAGAACGTATTTAATAACACAGTGCACATAACTCTTTCTATCATGGACATTTGGTATATTGTTGTTTGTTTCTGATACATAATTCTGCAACCAAAGGTGATTGTTAGATTCTTGTACACACACTTTCGTTATTGTCTAATCGGTCGCTCATCCATCCATCCACTTGGCTGACGGAACATGTAACACGTACAGTGTCTTTTAGAGGTAAGGGTGGACACCCTCCTCTGGGTCCAGTGGTACTGGTTTCCAGGACGCAAACGCAATGGATCGTTCATGTTCCCATTCATTAAGATGACAACCGTTTGACACTTGATGCTGTGTTCTGAGAGTGACCGTTCGTTTATAAACAGGTGAACGTACTAGGGATCGATTCGTCGATCGAACAGATTTGTGATTTTCATTGTACATTTTAATCCAAGCATCTGTTTATGTATACCAAATTAATGTATTTGTGAACTCACTAAAACGCCAAAATACCGCTGCTTTAAACAATTAAATGCAATATCAAGAGTGAGTATTCGTCAGGTAATAACGTACTAACTGCGGGTAACTAGATGATCATTATTCCAAACGTTGCTTTCTAGGCGCACAACATTACGATATATGTAGCAATATGTGTAGTGTGTGTTGTGAATGTTAATCCATTGCCTCTACATGCGGTGAGCGGCATAAGGTGTTTCAATGGAAAAGTATCCCCTTACTGTAGATACGTGTACCACCATTACCTGATACCTAATGGTCGTGTACACACAACACGTGTGGTGCGAGTGTGACTAGATAGCGTCGTCTTAATCCGTATTTCGGTTTATCAGTATTTCGATTTATCATAGTGTATAGTGTACACTGAACTTGCATCAACTAATTACAATAAATTAAGGGTAGTCATCGAGCCATAACAAATAGCTGGAAGACCTTGAGTTGCGTGTGACGCTGTAGTGAAAATTATTTTTCGGCATACGTCATTTGTACGGCATATTGATTAAACAAAAAGGGACAAATATATTTGAAGAAACAACATATGGTAAGTAAACTGACTGACTGAGTTTTGTTTTACGCCGCTTTTAGCAATATTCCAGCAATATCACGGCGGGGGACACCAGAAATGGGCTTAACACATTGTACCCATGTGGGGAATCGAACCCGGGTCTTCGGCGTGACGAGTCAACGCTTTAACCCCTAGGCTACCCCACCGCCCCGGTAAGTAAACACAAGCCAAACACCTTTTATGAAATGATTGCTCGATGACTACCCTTAACTCAACCAAATCATAGCAACAGTGTTTCAGTTCCTTCCATACTCTGCAGACATGGCCATCCGATCCCCATTGGTTACAGGAGAGAAATATTATCATGGAATCCGTACGGGATCGGCCTTTTGAGCTTGTTGGAACTTTTAGGTGATCCAGAAGCATTGACAGAGGCCAGAGTTGCAGACAGTGAATTCTTAGTTGCCAAATATTGATAGATGAATTTTAGATTTGTTTTCAAGCCAAATAATAGCTTGTTAGTTGGTGCCTTTAATACAGATTATAGCATTAGCTGCATCCGTTTCCTCGATGACTGCCTATGTCTAAAAAAATTATCACTATCTGGTTATTATAATATGTAATTGAGGAAACATTGTTTGCGTTTTAAACATGTGGTACCGGCAGAAGAGAATCTGCATATGCTCATATAGTGACAGGAATGTTTGACGATCTACACTAGCGGACAAATATACTATCTATCTGGTGTTATTAGCACCGTGGAAAGACTGTTTTCATAACACTAACATACGTATGAATTTAGAGTCAACCTGTGAACTATGCGCTCAGGAAACAATGTAAATGTATTCTTTAGCCCAATCAAATTATTATTAAATTTATCGGGTACATATATCACAGTGTATTCTTTCTCATCCCTTGAAATTGCTGCACTATATAATATGAATTTAAACCAGTTAGTAGCTGAGTCATTGCATGTGCGCTGAAAATAGTAATTGTGAGGATGAACGAAAATTTGAAAAATAACGTTAATAATTGAATTTATCCGTTATTTTAAGAAAACGTAAATCTCAAACATATGAAAGTATTAGTAGTAAAAACAAAACTGCGAGGTTCAAATCTAGCCTGGTTTAATGCCTGTGCAGTTTTTATCATTTTGTAAGAATTTAAAGAATTATTTGCGTAGTGTGTGAAAAACACGCCGAGAACGGTTACTTTTGTCCGGTAGTGTACTGAGTCACTTCTTCCGTCATTCAGGAGACGGTAGGGCATGATTATAGAATGATGTAATTTATAATGTACAGCTTTATCTCAATGTTGTGTCTGTGATATTCATGTGATATATATATCCCTGTTTAGATACAAAGGAGGCATTGACAGTAGCATTGCCTATATCTCATTTTCAATGTGTATGGTTGTGTTTATTTATTTTGTTGTAGTCGTACAGCCACTGGCAAACAACGTAAGAAATTCAAATGCCAAGATTCCTTTCTCAGTGTCCCTGTGTAAATCTATACAGTGAAAACCCGTTAATTCCTATCAAATCACCCGGATGAAAAGACTTTCGGATCTACGAATCATATTGGAATCTGTACTGTATCGTCTCGACTAGTTTTCCAGATAATAGGGGTCCGATTTAATGAGTTTTTTGCTGTGTGCAATGTGTTTGTGTAACGTCCGAAAAAGTGCTTGTCGAAATAAATGCGCAGATAAGGTGCGCATTTGACACTTTGCTTTTATATCATGAAGACGCCCATTGGTTGATTGACGTCATGTGGTTTGTATTTATTGATTTTGTTTACTGGAAGTATCGTATTTCCCAAATTTGATTGGTAAACGTACAATACCCATTTTTAAGCTATAATCATAATTGTACGCTGTCGATGATGTATACCCTCTCCAAATTATTTATTTATGCAGAGTATATTTTAAAAAGCCATGTTTTATCACATCATTGTTAACTTATTTCAATATATATTTCGTGCAAATTTTTAAAGGATACTCGTCGATTGTATGTTGACCATTAAGTGTTATTCATAGCAACCTTCAGACAAAATGCCTTCAGAATTGTTCTCAATGTATGCGTTAAAGTAATGTCTGGTCTGACATTATGTCGTTAGGAAATAATAACTGTCAATACAGAGGAAATGTCGAGCATTGTTGCAGTCTCGTATATTTGACCGACACGGTAGTTGAGTTTGGTTACAATACAGTTGTTACATATCAAGTTGACCTCACGACGGTGGCCATTTGTTTGTTGTATACAAGTGTGTATTTATATACGGCACCCATAATAAACAAACAATACATAATGGAGTTTAATTTTAGTTATTTGAGCATACCCCGTGAAGATCCGGGTTAGACTTTGTCTTCAGCAATCTGTGCTTGTCGTAAGAGGTGGCGAACAGGCACGCACAGACTAACGCTTAGTCTCTGAATATATACTTCGCATCACAAGTTTAGACGCATTTAAAACACTCACTATATGTGTGTGTGTGTGAGAGAGAGAGAGAGAGAGTGAGTGTGTGTGTACTACTGTGTATATATATATATGTGTGTGTATGTATATATATATGGTTACATCGAAGATTGATATTTCTCCAATAACTTAGGGGAGCCAACTGTAAACCTTATGCAGATGAATTGCACGAGGATCATGCATCAAATTGCTGAAGAGCATGTGCAGATATTGTGCATCTGAACAGCTGGTTTTGGTGTATAGTTTTGTTAAACAGTACCTTTAACCAGAATGGAATATTTTGCAAAATTTAGTTTAGAACAGTTGCCTGAAGTAAGTGGCTATATTTACACTGGTAAGTCTAAACGTTTGATGGGAAGTATATATAATTTTGATTACAAACAAACCGTATAAATTGAAAAGGAGCCCCAGGGAGACCAGAGATTCAGAACCTGAGGAAATCTAGACTTGCTTCATTGAGAGCTTTAGCATTGCAGAGAGGGCTAGGCAGTAGGGAAAATAATGTTGTTCAGGATTGAGACAGACTAAGACACGCAGAATGATTGAGTCATGTCATCATATCCCAATTGCGCATGTCTGGACTCTTGATGTCAATCGCTGGATTGATTGTCAGGCAGGATTGTTTACAGACCGCTACCGTATAGCTCGAATGTTACTGAATGCTGTCTTAAACAACAAGCAAATGAATAATAAGGCATGTCATCAGAATGAATGAGTGAGTGAGTGAGTGAGTTGGGTTTTACGCCTTTTTAGCAATAATCCAGCAATATCACGGCAGGGCACACCAGAAATGAGCTTCACACATCGTGCGAACCCCATGTGGGGAATCGAACCCGGGTCATCAGCGTGACGAGCTAACGCCTTAACCACTGGGCTAGCCCACCGCCCGTCTTCAGGGGGCCAACGAGCTAATCTGTCGGTTGTACCGTTAGCCTTACACGCAGAAAGTCCGTGTTTGGTTCTCCATATATGTGCGGATCCCAATGGTCCCGTGTCGGTTGGAATATTGTAAAAGGCACATTCATATACCAACATAAATTCGGCCAAATTAATACTTCTGGACCCCGTTACCCAAAGTTATCTTAATGCTGCAGAGATCGTTTGTCCCATACTTCAACATAGGCTTCTGATAGTCGTACCGCTAAAGGCGCTTTGTGCAACGGGGCCCTGGTTCCTTGTGTCATAAACGGGGGTGTGGGTCCACTAACTGCAGCACTTGGGGTTCTTCTCACGCATAAGGCTGACAGGTCATGGTATGACGGTGACCATAACACAGATACTGGTGACCCTCGATCCCAGGCCTTCTGTGGCTGTGGGGTAGCCTAGTGGTTAAAGCGTTCTCTCGTCACGCCGAAGATCCGGGTTCGAATTCCCACATGGTTACAATGTGTGAAGCCCATTTCTGGAGTACCCCGCCGTGATATTACTGGAATATCGCTAATAGCGGCGTAAAACTATACTAACTCACTCGACTTACTGGATCGTGTGTTCAAGCTCGGCGACATGTTTGACTACGCCTCATTGTACCCCGATAGCGTGGATCGATGCTCGTCACATAAATCACTGGATTGTCTGATTCGGATTCGATTCTTTACAGGCCGCCATCAAATAGCTGTAATATTCATGAGTACGGAATTCAGAGTCAGTCGCGAACGCACGCTCACAGAGAATATAAATAAATATACAAGATACATTTTCACTTGTCGCATAGTGCAATAGCGAAGTCTCGTGAGATTGGGAAATGTATCCCAAGACGTTGTGGGGATTTCCTAGGTGATAGCCAAAGGTGAAGTGAGGTGAAATTGGGTTTAACGTTGTGCTTGAGAATATTTCGCTCATGTGACGACGTGCATGCGTGTGTATGTGTATGTGTATGTGCGGCTGCTTGTACTAGCCCAGACTGAAGCTGGTTTTATAGTACCAGCCCACTGAGATACCATGCCGCAGTGAAGCACGAATACCCCACTCAGACACATTATGCTGACTCTGAGTCGACCAGTCCTTGTTGTACCCATTAATGCCGAGCGCCAGGCAGGGACCAACAAGTACCATATTTTAACGTCTTTTTGGTATGACGCGGTCGAGGATCGAACCCACGACCTTCCGCTCTCCGGGCGGACGCTCTAACCACTACACCACGGAGGCGGTCAATAGCCAGAGTGGAAGTGGAGTATAGAAGCAGGATGTAACAGGCATATGTATGAGGCATGTAGTCATTGTTCGACTGGCAACGGGCGGTGGGGTAGCCCAGTGGTTAAAGCGTTGGCTCGTCACGCCGAAGACCGGGGTTCGATTCCCCACATGGGCACAATGTGTTAAGCCCATTTCTGGTGTCCCCCGCCGTGATATTGCTTGAATATTGCAAAAAGCGGTGTAAAACTAAACTCAGCCAGTCAGTCAGTCGACTGGCAACTATTTAGATACCTTATCTCGCGATCCTGTATGTATGGTTTATTTGCTAATAAAAAAACAGTGGGTAACTTATTATCTGCTGTTTATCAGCGGAATACCTTAAAACAAACATCAAGCTTTGACAAAGGCGCGACCCTGAAGAAGTAAGAGGACCTCGACGAGCGCTGCCCATACAGAAAGTGTACCCAACTCGGAGGTAGGTTTGGTAAGGTTTTTGGGCGGCCTTGAGCATGAAAAGACAAGAGTATGAGCTAGGGTTATCTTCTCCTGAGTTATCTGGAAGGTCAAGGTCATAGTCATGGTCATGCCTTGTTCACGCCATCCCGTTTTCGACACACCCCAAATAATACAGATGAGATTTCTCTTTCATCTCTTTTGAAATAAACTGCGGTAGAAATGACAATGAAGTCTGTTAACTCGATAACGCTGTAGACGAACATTATATTAATGAATCATTATCTTTTGTTAAATATGCCGCCATCTTGGATGAAGATAACACACAAATAGATATTTTAAAGATTTATGACAATCTTACGATATCTTATGTCTGCGATAGTTTCCAAAATAGGCGATGTATGAATCCCATATGGGTGGATTTAGGATGCTCGTAGCCCTTAGATCGTTTGGGAGGATCTAGAGGCTGGTGATCAACTTGACTCAGAAATCACAAGGGGCGCGAAATGGATAGTGGTATTGACCTTTTCTAAAAGTAGCTTAAAACTCAGCCGCGATTGCGCACGAAAGGAAGCCAATATTCTGTTGCGTGCGGATAAAACATGTCTACGTACATTTCTACTGTATATATCGATACGGTACCATTACGTTACACTACCAGGCAGGAAAAGTTGCCCCTATTCCTTGCTTGTCATCAGAGATTACTGAATTTGGTTGGTTGGATGTTGTTTAACGTCGCACTCAGCATTATTCCAGCTATATGGCGGCGGTCTGTAAATAATCGAGTCTGAACCAGACAGTCCAGTGATCAAAGGCATGAGCATCGATCTACGCATTTGAAATACGATGACATGTGTCAACCAAGTCAGCGAGCCTGACCACCCGATCCCGTTAGTCGTCTCTTACGACGAACATGGGTTGTTGAAGACCAACGTTTAACCCGGATGTTCACGGGTTGACAGAAATTGGTATCTTGTGTCCATTAGGGCGTCTTGCTCTTGTAACGAGGATTGGTGACCAGCATAGTTTGGATTTGACATCCATATCATTCTAACTGTCAGCTTTCCTTGACCTTGGTGGAACGTGTTCCACGTGGGGATTCCACGCTATCATCGGAACCATGTCCCCAGCCCCAGAATTTGTCCAATGAATAAAGTGAGTGAGTGAGTATAGTTTTATGCCGCCTTTACAATAGTCCAGCAATATCACCAGGACACCAGATATAGTCTTTACACATTGTACCCATGTGGGGAATCAAACCCGGGTCTTCAGCGTGACGAACGGACACTTATGGCCCAGGTTGGGTTACTTATAAGTTGCCATCCTTTAGCTTGAATATTACAGATATTGCTTAGTGCACTTATGTATTGAGTGCGGCGTCAAACAACATGAAGGTGAACTTGAACGTCACGTTCCAATTTTTAAAAATTTTTTCGTCATGGCACGGACGGGGTCGAACCACTGACCTTCCACTGGACAGCCGGTTTGTCCACTACACCACAGAAGCTACTGACAATACAAGGTACTTCAATAATTTTTCAACTGTGAATGTCGGGCATTGGCTCAATGGTAATATCCAATCAGATCAATTAATAAAAACATATTCATGTTTTTTTTATAACAAGACACGTTGTTTTTCCCATTCCGTAATGATGAAAAGTATAGGCTTAATGGCACAGGCCTTGTTTCCCGCCCCGTGAATCTTACGTGTCAAAAACCTTCAGTAAGCCAAGACACAGATGCGTTACTTTAGCAACGCGAACATCGCACCGTATCGTTTTCCCCATTTATTTCATGATTTACCATGCAGTACATACACGTTGACGTTGTAAATTTCTGATCGATTGTCGTAGCCTGGTCACAAGGCCGATCATCCTCCTCCTTTGGTCAAATGACTATAACACAGTTCAACAAACATGTCGCTTGACAAGAGCTGACGTGGATACGACGAGCAACAGGAGACGAGACGCCACTTGTCACGTGACGCCTCACGTGATGGAACCACACAGAAGGGCACAAACATCAACCAAATGAGTATGATCATGAACGTAAAATGTAATCCTTCAAGAACAGGGGTTAGGGGGCTATACTCCACTATCTGGTTCCTAGTTACCATTTCCAGTCGAAATATACGTCAAGTAAAAGATGTTTATAACATTGAGACATTGTGTAAAAACTTCATTGATACCATCAGTTTTTTTATTAATATACCAATTATTTCAATTTCATTATCGACGTCGAGATATA